AAGAGCGCCACCTGCTGGAGCCGCCGTTCTCCTTGTGCTCCTGAGGCTTTGTCGACCTCTGACCTCCTTAAACCTTAAAGGAATGTGGAGCCGGGGGGGAAGAGAAGACTGAAACAGCAGGAAGTAATGAATGAAGGAAGTAGTTCTGCCGTGTTGCTCTCTCAGCTTCCTGCAGGTAAACACGTTGCCATGGTGATCAGACCACCTGCTCTGGTGCCTCAGAAACACCTGGTGAAATGTTGCTGTGGGAGGATCTCCAGTAGCAGTCAGTACTGCAACAACTCTAAAGACTCTTCTGACATGCTAACGGCTCAATGACGTCATCAGCTGCTGCTGAGGCTGGAGTAGGGGAAGTGACCCTCCCCCCTACTCTCTGTATCCATGGAGATACTCAATACCTTGTTGCCATGGATAGCCATGGATACACATAATAGCAACTGTCTGCAGGTAGAAACTCAGAACAAAACTCCTTCCAGCTGCTCAGCATCCGGAACCAGAGGGGATAATGGGCCAGACATCAACCATTCAGCCTGGATAATAATGAGCTAAAGTCCAGAAAAGATCCAATCAGAACCACCAGGTTCTCCAGACCAGGTTCGGTCCAGAGGACAACCCACCGTCACCGACTCATCATGACTCTGCTCCGGTAATCTCCACCTCTGCAGTTTTGCGCAATAAGCATCAAATCTGTTCAGAAAGCCCGGCACCGAACCGCAGAATGATGACGTAATAGGTGAGTAATTAAGTCTTTATTACAAACTGACACCAACGGCTGAGCAGGAACCAAAACAAACATCTGCTTTTCAAAATGAGGTTCGCTGGTGCTAAGTAGGAAGCTCGCCAAATGTAACCGGAACGAACTGATTTAAGCCCAATCTGAACACCTCACAGAACCGATTTAAGCTCGACTCAGTCCCTGACGCCGCTGGTAGGAGCCACAGATCCCCGGGGGCCCGCCCAGCTTACCGGGGCGGGTGGTTCTGACCCGGGTTCGGTAATGAACGCTCAGCAGTCCCCCGAACATTTAATTTATCCGCAGCAGTTACTAGCAGCTAGCTGTTAGCTGAGCGGTTACTCACACATAGATGATGGACATGAAGTGCATGAGCCACAGAACCGCGAACAGAACCAGGCCGAACACCGAGAAGCCCTGCAGGGCCACATCCAGCGGGGCCATGCTGCTCCGGGGCGACGCGGGGTTGGCAGACCGCCTCGGGTCGCTCTGGCTCCGGTCGGACAGCGACCAGCTGACCGGCCTCACAGCGGAAACAACGGGGGGAAGAGGCGGGTGTGTTCAGGCCGGAGATCGGGCCTCCTGCCGGGTACAGGGAACAGGAACCAGTGCGGGGTTTGGAGCTCCACTAGGCGGGACTCTCAGGATGCGTATCCGCGGGTCCAAACGGTTCTGGAAGCCCAGGAGATTCCGAGTCCCGGCTCAGTTGGTTTCGGTTGTTTGACAGTCAGCAGACCGACCGACGGTCAGCTGACCAACTGGGGTTGAGACAACGGAAGCTGCCGAAAGGTGACGGCGTTTCCGTTTTTCAAAATAAAACGCCATATTTAATAATAAAAGCGTCTTTTTGATTCTCTGCAGGTCGGTTTGGGTTTAGTAGGGGTGTCAAACGTACGGCCCGCGGGCCGGAACCGGCCCGCCGAACGATTTAGTCCGGCATGGGGGCTAAATGCATTATCATTATTCATGAAAAAACGTATACTTCGTTTAATTGAAAATCTGCAGTTCCTACACTGTCCACGAGGGGCGCTGTGTTTTATCCAGAGCACACAACATGATGCAACACTGCAGCGGAACTAACAGCAGATGGCAGCACTGAGCTTCAGGTTCTGTAAACAAGTTCGATTCTATGCTTTACCAGCTTTTTATTTTGTCCTGGCAACCTCATATTTCTCGTGCATGCTAACATACATACATGTTATGTATGCAAGTTTTTCTATTTGTATGCATTTTATGCATCAACAAATGTTCTTAATCAAATGTCTGTTTAAAACAGCTGACACTTAAGATTTCAAATGTGTGAAGCCAGATAATTTGTTCAAATTGCTTCCCAGATGTTGAAAATTGATTTTAAATCTTTTCTTAGTTTTTGTCTGTTGTATTTTGTGATGCAGTTCAGTGTTTTTAAGTTCCAAAAACTGTGAATAAATGTTTTGCAACATTGTACAATCACTGAGATCAGTTCTAATGCACTTAAATAAATGCTTAACTGAGTAAAAGTATTGTTGAAATTGCAGATGCCTTTCTTAAAAACTGAGATTATTCATAATATATTTTGTAAAAGTGAAATTCGTTTAATATAAAAATCAACAACAAGTCCACTTTTATTGGTTCTATTTAAGTTTACTTGTGTGGCCCCCTGCAGATCAGATTAAGCTGCATGCGGCCCCTAAACCAAAATGAGTCTGACACCCCTGGTTTAGTTAAATGTGGTTTATTTTATTTTAGCTTAGTTTAGTTAAGCAGAATTTAGACTAGATTAGCTGAAGTCAGACCTGACCAGTTTACTGTAGTGAAGTTAAATATATTTATTTTAGTTCTCATCCACATTAACAGAACAAACCTGATTCTGAATCAATAATAATCCAAATATAAATTCTTAGAATTAACAATTATGAATAATTATCTAAAATATACAGTAAATATAACAGAACAGAATAACTTAGAAATTAATAGTTTTATATTTACAGTTACTAACATTAGCTTAAAGCTCACACTGTCTGCCCCAATCAAACATCTGGAGGCCCTGAACGCATCATGGAACAGGTGAGTTTACCTGAGGGCCATGAACGCAACATGGAAACATCGCATCCACAGGTGAGTCAGACTGAATGACTCAGACTGGAAACAAACGTTTCAACACCTGAAACCGAACCAGAACCTCCCCACCCAGAGAGGTTCAGTGGGACCAGAACCAGCAGCAAAACCTCAGTACTTGCTGGTTCATCAGGAGTTCTGGTTGGGTTCTGGTTCTGTTCCAGCTAACTGGACTCAATCCAGTTAGCAGGATTGAGTCCAGCAAACCAAACAGAAAGTGACATTGGGGTCGTGACCTTCATGACCCCAAGGTCATGAAGGTCGTTTCCTGGTTGCTGGTCCATCATCATAGTGATCCGGTTCCCAGTGCTGGTTCTGATCAGAGGTCACAGGTCAAGACTGGGTGGTCCCTGTGGGCCCAGCTGTTGATTCAGAACCAGAACCTTTTGGACCGGCTGCTTGGCTGAGTCATGATTCCCAGTCTGGACTTCCTGTGGAGGGAGTCCGACCCGCTCCTGCGGTTCTGGTGCGACCCGTTTTGATCTGTCTGGTTCCGTCCAGGAAGCTGTGCCCAACAGAACCACTAGCTGGTCTGGAGCAGAGAACAGGGCCTCATCAGGTCCAATAGACCAGATCAGAACCAACTGGATCAGATTGAAATCAGTGTGAGGATCTCAGTAAAACCTGGTTCTGTTTTTCTGACCAGAACCAGAACCAGGCTGAGGTACTACCACCAGAACCGACTGGTTCTGGTTCCGGTCTCAGGTTCTGCTCAGATTCCAGCTTCAGGATGGTCACCATGACCATTCTGTGGTATGATGACATCACTTCCTGTCCCATGACCCGACCTGCAGCAGAACTTCCTGTCCGAACGTCATGAGGGAGTTGGAGATGACCCGGCCCGGTTTGGACCCGGTTCAGCCTCTGGGTTCTGCTCAGGTTCTTTGGATCGTAGTCGGTCCGGTTGATTCAGAACCAGAACCAGAACGATCCAAACATCAGGATGTTTCAGTTTTTCCTCTTTAAACTTTCTTTGTTGCGTCGATATGAAACATTTTCCTGTTTCTTATTAAAAACTAAAACAGACAAAATGAGAATCTGCGTTTTTATTGGTGCAACTTGAACACATCAGGAAGCCACGACCATATATGGAGGAGCAGAGGGAACCTGGGGAACCAGGTGTGAATACTTAATGAGGACAAAAACCAGAAGGAGTGAGAACTCTTAGCGTATCAAAGATCCTCTATGAGGACAGAGTGCCACTCTATCCAGAAACTCAGATAAGGATGAGCTGAGCTTTTACTTTAACTATACAGTTAGAATAGAACACCTGCCCACCAGGTGCTAATCTGGGGTCACAGGTCATTCTGAGGTCAGTCAGGGGTCAGTCAGAAGCTCCTCCCCTCTGTGACCAGCTGCACTCTGAGTTCTCCTTCCAGGACGACTCCTGGGTGTTGTAGACCTCCTGTGGATCAGAACCAATCAGAACCAACCAGAACCAGTCAGAAGTCAGGATGAGAGATAAGTGGTCAGTATTGGGCCTGGTGCCGGCCCGGTCCTGGCCTGGTGCCGGCCCGGTTCCCACCTTCTTCCAGATGGGGGCGCTGGCCTTCAGCTGGGTGACGGCGTGCTGAATGGCCTCCTGGCCGTCCAGGCGGTGTGGAGAGGAGATCGCCATGACGACACTGGCCTCACCCACCTTCACCCACCTGAGGGAGGAAGAGAAGGGTCAGGCTTGGCGGCGATGACATCACAGCGCGGTGGGCGGAGCCTCACCCCAGGCGGTGGTGGATGCAGATGTGCAGCAGCGAGGGCCAGCGGGCCCTCAGGGCCGCCGCCAGTCGGCTCAGCTCTGATTGGACCATGGCCTCGTACGCCTCATACTGCAGACCAATCACCTTCCTGCCCTCCACCTGGTCCTCCCGGGTCGCACCTGCACAGGAAACGGGTCAGCAGCACCGACAGCCGGCCGCCCACAGGGGGCAGCGGAGCAGCTGTCACCAGGTTAGGGTCTGGTTCCAGATCAGTTGGCATTGATCCGATTGGTTGATCAGAACTGAAGGCCCGCCCTGAGGAAGAGGAAGAGGAGGATGATGAAGGTCGTACCTATAAACACAGAGACGGCGCCGCAGCGGCTGCTGCTGACCGAGTCCACCACTTCCTGCACCGACAGCCAATCACGGCTCAGCCTGAAGATGTCCCTGGGTGGCTCCGCCATGTGTAGAGATCGGTCCGGTTCTGGTTCTGTTCTACCCTCCGCTCAGCGGCGGCACCACGGCCACCTCGTCGCCGTCCTGCAGGCTCAGCTGCTGGTTGCCGATGGCGACGTACCGTTGGCGTACAGCCAGCACCACACGGCCCTGCAGCGCCACCAGCCTGCAGAGACACGACGAGTCGCCGTCAGCGCTTCGCGCCGCCACCTGATCGCTGCTCTGAGCGCGCCTACCTGGGCTGTTTCCGTAGCAACAGAGCCCACAGGTCCCCGCTGCTGATTGGCGTTGGCACGGCAACTAACTCCTCCTCCCTCAGTCCGGTCAGCTCGGCGCTCCTAGCGAAGTACAGCACGGTCACCTGAGGAAGAGACAGTTTTTCCTTCCACTCAACTTCCCACCAACCAGCTGGTAAACAGGCTCTGAGCAGTCAGTTGCCATAGTGACGACCTTTAGCATCTGACCACAGAATAAACCCAGAAACTAACTGGTTAAAAATTTTTATCAACATTATTTCTATAAGACATTTCAGCAACACTTAATCTGATCGATGCATCAGATTATTGATCAGATTATTGATTAATGTTTCAAAAGCAGCTCTGATCAGATCTTAGTCTGGATGTAAAGGAGCTCAGTGTTTCGGCTGTTTTTCAGTTTTCTGTTAGTTTGTTCCAGATCTGTGGTGCATAGAAGCTGAATGCTGCTTCTCTACGTTTGGTTCTGGTGCAGGGACCGCTCCGTCTCCAGCTGATGTTTCTGGTTCCTGATGTGCGGTGGGTTCCGTCCAGGTTCATGTTTGTTAGAGAAGATCCTGCAGGCGTCGATGCAGGCAGGCCACTGCGCTGCAGCTGGACCCATCAGCCTGCAGAGTGCTTCAGGTCCTGCTGCTGGGACACCGAAACACCTTCAGGTTTCATCGTGTTCAGAAGAACAGTAGAACCTCCGTTCTCTGCCACATGAACAACTAGAGTTTTAATATCGGCTGATCCGAGGTTAGAGACAGGATTTCATCTGTCACAGCAGATTTGGAGAAGGACACGACTCTGGTTCTCTTGGCTGCAGAAACGGCTGATAAATAAATTCAGTTTCAGCCATAAAATTAATAACCCTAAAATTCTGATTGAATTTGGACCGGGAGGTTCCGATTGTTTTTCGCCCCTGGGGACCTCACAGAGCCCCGCCCCACACGCAGCATGTGACCTATGACCCGATTCGCTCCTCACACGGCGGACTCTGAGGTCTCTTGCTTGTCCTGCGGGTCCGCTCCAGAACTCCGTTAGGAAATCTGAGGATTTACATATTTCTGCATCTGACCGAAACAAACACACGAGCAGAGGATCTGACCTCACTAATATGGAGTCTGGCTTCAGTTTGGCGCGATGAGTCCGCAGTAAAAAACCTTTTATCGCTTCCATTCATACCGATATTTGAGGAGGCTTCAGTTATCTAAGCCGTTAAACGTCGGCTAGAATCAGACAGAAAGTCAGAGGAGTCTGGTAGAGATGAAAACAGCTGCAACAAACTCACCTGCGCAGACATGAATCCTCCTGCAGCGGACAGAACTCACCTGGGCAAACTCTGACCGACGCCAGTTACTGTTTTACTCCTCCTGATTCTTCTTCTGCTCCCTAAAGCCCAACACACCGAGCAAGTGTCGCCACCTGGTGGACTGCGGTCTGTTGTCGGCCTCCTGGACCAATCGTTACCTCTGCAGGGCGGAGTCACTGCGGAGGGAGCGAGGCGTTTTGGAGAGGGCTGCATGGTGGTGGCAGCACAGGGATGTGGGCCTCCGGGTGTAGATTTAAAGCTGAATGATAAATCAGGTTTCCTTTGGTGTTTAAACCAAAGGAAACACCAAAGAGGAAGAGGAAAAAACAAAACAGAAACAGAAACCAGGCGGGTGTGAACACGTCCCACCGGCTGGAACATTCCTGAACCGGGATTGGAAACAAAACCAGGAAATCAAATACCACCCCAGGTGAAAAAAAGATAAACAAGTATACTTTAGTATATTTCAAACATACTTACATTTGTGAAAGTACATTTTAAGTATACTAAATATTAAGTGTTCTAGTGTAAATATACCTGAAGTATACTAAAAGTATACTTGTACCAATTTC